CATCATCATCATCATCATCATCATCATCATCATCATCATCATCATCATCATCATCATCATCATCATCATCATCATCATCATCATCATCATCATCATCATCATCATCATCATCATCATCATCATCATCATCATCCATCATCATCATCATCATCATCATCATCATCATCATCATCATCATCATCATCATCATCATCATCATCATCATCATCATCATCATCATCATCATCATCATCATCATCATCATCATCATCATCATCATCATCATCATCATCATCATCATCATCATCATCATCATCATCATCATCATCATTCTCATCCCCCTCCTTCTCCTCATCCTCCTCCTCCTGATCTTCCCCCATCCCTCCTCCTCATCTTCCCCCCCTCCTCCTCCCCCGAGCGTGCGGACCCGGTATGATTTGCGAGACTGTTCGTCTGTTCAGCAGCCGTCGTTACCAGGGGGGGAACTCTGGGTGGGGCACGCCAGGACGGGGGTTCGCTGCAGTCGCCCTAGTGCGTGCGCGAGCACCAACATGTGGGGGGAGGTCCAGGATCCCCCCCTTACACACGATCATTACCGTTACGCGGGGAGGGGGCAGGTAACGACCGATACGCGCCAGAGGAAAGAAAAAAAAATCCACGCACCAGGAGGGTCAGGTCACGACAGCACAATACGGCATCAATCCGACGTTCGCCGGCGGACGAGACACGCAGTAGGCGCATCTGCCCCTCCCCAGAGCCCGCCAAATCGACACCTTTTCCTGGCCACTCCGACGCTGTGGCCGAGAAGACACGGTTGGGTGAGGGGGGAGAGCACTCCTGGATGGAGGGAGCGAGGAGGACGGCCGAGGACGGGAACCAGGGTCGGGAGGGCGGGGAAAGAGACAGAGAGAGAGAGAGAGAGAGACAGACACGGGAAGAGCGGAGAGGAGGGAACGGCAAGCTAGGCGCGCTCGCGCCATATCTGACGTCCTACCCCTCCCTCCCATCCCTTAATTACCATTGGGTAGAGCCCATGTCTATTCGCACAGTCGGATGTCGAAGATGACAACGGTGCCCAAAGGGCACTCGATGCATAGCGTGGCATAGCATTGCGTAGTCAAGAAATGCATATCATAGCATGGCAGCGCAAGGCATGGCATCGCATACCAGCACAGAACATGGCATTGCATGGCATGTCATTGCATGGCATGGCACTGACCCAGAGTTGCATATCACAGCGTGTCGGAGCAAGGCATGGAACCCCAGAATCACGATACATAACAGGGCATTGAATTTCATACAATGGCGCATGAACGGTGCACAGCAGGCAAACCATGCGGGAGGACCGACTATTTGGAGATGAGGCCGGTGCCGCAACGGGAGCACCATTCGGAAGGACAGAAAACGCTGAAAAAATGACGCCAGCGCTGCAGCGAGAGCACCATTTTCAAAAACCGAAAACGCGGAAATGATGCCACCGCTGCAGCGGGAACAAGATTTTGAAGGACCAGAAGCGCAGAAATGTGGCCAGCGCTGCAGCGGGAGCACCATTTTTTAAAGATCGAAGACGATCAGACTGGAAAATAACGCACAAGAGACACAAGCTTTGAACTCCTGTGCGTGAAAGCAACACTCGGAGAGCGCGGGACACCTTCCGGACAGAGTCGAGGGAGAGAGGAGAGCAGTATGCAGAATGTGCCCCTGTGAGGAGCGAGAAGTGGCAGAAAATGGCAGGAGGGACACCGGGTGGGGGGCGGGACACAGCGGGCGGGAGGCGGGAGGCGAGCGAGCAGGCGGGAGGCGAGCGAGCGAGCGCGCACCGCTGGTCAGAAGGACCAGCCATGCGCAGTCAACGCGGGCGGGCCGGCGCCTGGAGAGGAGTGATGCCTCGGCGCTCCCTGGCGAAACTCATCCGGAGACGGAGTGGCTGGACCGACTGGGGGAACGGAGTCCCACAATGCCTTTAGAGGTGCAGGTGGTTCAGGGCGCTTCCTCTTCCAGCCCCTTTTCTCCCCCTTCGGGGAGTGGTTTATCACTGCTCCCTGCTAAGAAACACCCCCTCCCCCAGGCGACCGGCAGCCAACCAGGACCCACGACGACCCCCCCCCCCCTCCCGCCCATCCCTGTACAAAACCCATACACAATTCACTTTGCCTCCAAATCTGGATCATGCGCGGGCGCCCCGCGACCACTTTGCTTTGACCTTTGAACCAGGGACAGCGGGGGAGCCCTTATTTCAAGCCAATCATCCCTGCCAAATAACAATACAGAATACACTTTGCCTCCAAATCTGGATCATGCGCGGGCGCCCCGCGACCACTTTGCATTGATTTTGGACAGGGGCACTCGGGTGCTACCATGTGTTGGGAGGGCGGGTGGGAGTGAGCAAGCCGGCTTGCGCCATGTGGGCAGGAGGTGTCCTGATCACTGTTCTCTATTGATAAATACCTCCTCCCCCAAGCGACTGGCAGCCACCTCGAACCAATGGCAACCACCCCCCACACCATCATTTTCAGAAAAACGCGAAACACATGCAGAGGCAGAATATTGGGTCGTGCTCGTGGACCCCGCAAGCCTGTTGTATTGCGTGTTGACCGGGACGGCGGGGGGGGGCCCTCATTGTCATAGTGCCTGCTGCGCGCATTCGCAGGGCCACCATCCCTAACAAAAGCAGTGCACTTCGCTGCTCAATCTGGAACATGCGCGGCCACCCCGCGATCACCGTCCATTGGTTTTTCAACCAGCACGGCGGGGGTGCTGGGATGTTGCCTGATTGCTCATTGGCCTTCGACAAGGATGGTGGGGGCCGACATGTTTCCCGATGTGTGCTGTCACGTGTGCGGGCGCACCTGGTACACTCTGCGCGTGCCGCGAACGTGGCGCACCTGGCGTAGCCGGGGCATGCGGCACACATGGCGCACGTGGAGCACTTGGACCCCAGGAATGCATGGCGCCCACGGCGAGCCTGTCACGCGTGGCGCACCTCGCCCCAGCGTCGCGCACATGGGGTCTGTTTTGGTTCGCAGTTGCTGTCCATCCATAAACGACCGCTGAACATGCTGAGGCGCGGGTGCTACATGTGTGTTGAGAGGGCGGGTGGGAGTGAGCGAGATGGCCTGCAGGCGGGGAGGGTGTCTCAACCTCTCCCCCATACCCCCCCTCCTGGGTCTGGAGGGGAGGGGTCGCGACCGATCAGAGCGTCCAAGGCCTCGGCGAGAACGCAAAACAATGTGTTTCCTCAGGTTGTGGGCCCATGTTGGTTTCCTGGGGGGGACGCTAATATGGTACCCACCCCTTCTTTGATCGAGTTCATCAAAGATGGCCCCAAGATGGCCCCCAACGCTCCGAAGAGTGCCCCAAGTGGGCCCCAAGCGGCGCCCAGGCGGTCCTCAAGAGGCCCCCAAGAGGTCCCAAGAGGTCCAAGAGACCCCAAAGAGGTCCTATGCCCCGAGGCACCCAAGACGCCCCAAGATGCCCACGGGACCGCTCAGAGGCCCCCAGGACGCTCCAAGAGGACTTCAAGAAGCTCTCAAGAGACATCCGAAGAGACGTTCAAGAGTCCTCTGGCCTTCTGCTCGCCCTCCTCCTCCTCCTCCTCCTCCTCCTCCTCCTCCTCCTCCTCCTCCTCCTCCTCCTCCTCCTCCTGCTCGGACTCGTGCTGTCAAGGCTGCGACCTTGACCGCGTCCGCCTCAGCTCCCTGCGTCCCTGATGACGCCGCGAGCGGCCAGGACAGTGGAGGCAGGCCGTGTCACGAAGGCCGTAGCCCTGGCGTTGCTGCCTGCGGTGACCACCATTATTCCTCCTCTGCTTTCACTCGATCGTGCGACTCTCGGGAGGGGACTCTCAGACCCGAGGAGGCGGCGCCGTTTTCCCCTGGTGTGCGACGCCAGCGCAGCCTCTCCCCGAGCAGCGGGCCCGAGCGCCACGTTCGTCCTCGGGTCAGCTTCGAACCGATAGTCGCAGTCAGGGATGATGTCTCTAAGGACAGAGACCTCGCGATCAGAGATCTCGGGATCCCAGACCGCGAGGGCCCCGCGTTTCGCCTTGATAAGCGTAGGAGGACTGGCGGCCATCGCGGGGACAGGACTACCTTGGCCGCCACCGTAGTGCCTGACCGTGCCATGCCTGCGTCCGCGGCCAGGGGGCATCGTCTTTGGGTTTCCTCTGGGCACGTGTGCCTCTGCGTTTCTTGTGGATGTTTACCACTGGCACGGCAGGACATTTGTTGGTAGGATGCCCGTCCACTGAACCTACTTATAGACTTTCGGAACGTGCCCTTCGGAACCGAAAGCAGTTGTTGGCCGGGTGTCACCCTGCGGACGAGGGCAGGCAGGATTCTCGTAGGATCCCTGCGCCTCGTCCCCTTCATGTTGCCGACCCAGAAACGTGTTGGGTCAGGCTCCTAGCGAGCCGATCTTCTCAATATCGGCTCGAGGACGGGGATTAGGTTCGCGAGAGTGGAGCACCCTTGCTGGTGTGCTCCCCGTGGACCTTCATTCTCCTTTGCTTCCCTGTCCTCTCTCGTTTTGGTGCCTGCGGGGCTCCGAGATCCTGTGTCTCGGGTGTGGGCCACCGTCATTCGTGGCACCTCCGGCGGCTGCTCGGGCTGCCCCTTCGCCTGTGCACGCCTGGCGCCCGCGGCTTGACCTCTGAGCGCGGCGTCCGCCAGCCAGCGTCGTATCCTCCTCCTCATCCTCCTCCTCCTCCTCCTCCTCCTCATATCATCATCATCATCATCATCATCATCATCATCATCATCATCATCATCATCATCATCATCAGCAGCATCAGCATCAGCATCAGCATCAGCATCAGCGTCAGCATCAGCATCAGCATCAGCATCAGCATCATCATCATCATCATCCTCATCATCATCATCATCATCATCATCATCATCATCATCATCATCATCATCATCATCATCATCATCATCATCATCATCATCATCATCATCCTGACACTGGAGCACAGCAGAGCGCTGATGCCCCCGACCGACGACCTCCCCCTGCCTCTCCCCCTCCTCCTCCTCCTCCTCCTCCTCCTCCTCCTCCTCCTCCTCCTCCTCCTGCTCCTTCTCCACCTCCTCCTCCTCCTCCTCATCATCATCATCGTCATCATCATCATCATCATCATCATCATCATCATCATCATCATCAATCATCATCATCATCATCATCATCATCATCATCATCATCATCAAGCATCATAATCATCATCACTCATCCTCATCCTCATCCTCTCCTCATCCTCATCCGCCTCATCCACCTCCGCCTCCTCCTCCTCCTCCTCCTCCTCCTCCTCCTCCTCCTCCGATTCCGATTCCGACTCCGCCTCTTGTTTCGAAACCTCCTCCATCCTCCCCCTCTTAGGGTATGACGGTCATGACGGCTGCCCCAGCTCTCTTGGTCCACGGCATGCTCCTCCACATCCCTGATCAGGGCAACTCGCCTGGGCATCGTCTCTGGCTGTGCTGGTGGGGGCTACGCGAAGCGTCTAGAGTGTGCTGTTGACTTGGCGGCGTGCGCGCCGCGAACGGCCTTGCGGCCGCAGGCGAGGTTGTGGACGAACCTGGGGGGCCTCTCTGGACTCGGGATCCCTCAAGGGGAGCTCCCGAACGAAGTGAACCCCACCCTACCCCTCAGAAATCGGGGGGGTAGGGGTAGGGTTCGCATGTGGCCCCCCCCCCTCCCCGCGAGGCACCCGCCGAACCGACCGCGAACAAGGCGGCGCACAGGAGCGCTGCTCTCACCCTCACCTCGAGGGCAGCCATTCTGAGGATCCCCCGCGGCTCAGCCGACCCGATCAGCGCGTTCGCTCGTTTTTTTGTCAGCGCGCATTTTCCTCACAAGCCGCCTTGGAAACTCTTTTTGGTGTGCTCGAACCGGGACGTTGCAGAGTTGCTACAGTCGGACTTCATTGGACAGGACACGCGAGAGGACAAAAGACCCTTCCGAGGGCCACATTGCTATAGGAATGCAGGAGGCACAGGTCGCGAGACACAGGACACAAATCCGGGCCGACTCTATGCCCGGCGTCGCTGGGCAGGGTGATCAAAACAATGTTCCGTCGGTCGCCGCACAAGCCGTCTCGGGTGCGCTTGGCACGCGAGCACCACGCAGCAAGCACGCAGCGGAGTGCCCAACGCGGCAACTGTCATGATCATCCGGGGCGCGAGAGGCACCCTCGCTGTGGACTCGCTCGAGCGGTCGGCTGCTTTTCGACCCGCGCCTCCCTTCTCCGGCGTCCTGGCTATAGGACTCAATGCTCGGGGGCCGCAGCACATTTGCACACAGATCAGCCCTCTGCACCCAGTCGCCGCACTGTTGGATGGAGCGCACGCTGCTTGGACGCGGCTCTGGATCTCGTGGAGTGTGCGCGCGCCCCGGGCCGTGCTCTGATCGCCTGCTTCGCAGAGGTGGAAACACTGTTTGAGACCCGCCGGAGGTAGTGCAAGGGCAAGAGGCGCCGACGGAGAGCCAATGAATGCATGAGGGAGCTCCTGCTTCTGACCCGACGGAGTAGGAGGAGGAGGAGGAGGAGGAGGAGGGAGCTCCTGCTTCTGACCCGAAGCTCTCTCACCACACCGATGCCGCTGGCACGAGTGCGCGCGTGAGGCCTGCCTGCGCGGCCCCGCGCGGGCCGACGTGCCCTCCGGACCCTCCTGGCTTCCCTCCCTCCCTGCGCACACCGGCCTGGCAGCCCGCTCCGGCCCACATCCGGCCACGCACAGGTGGCTCGCGCGCCTTCGGCCAACGGCGACGTGGGCCACGAGGCGTGGAGCAGCCACAGCTGGCACGCGGCAGGGCCAGCTGCGCAGCGGTGCCTCTGGAGAAGGAGGAGAGCGGCCGCGGAGGAGGAGGACAAAGGAGGGAGCCCCGCTCAGAGCGCTCAGCACCTCGCGAGCGGTGCTGGCGGCCTCGGGCTCCAGAAGGAGGGGCGCCTCGCACCTGAACTTCGCGAGACCCCCCAAACGCGGGAACGGCGACCAGTCGGACGAGGCAGCGCTCCGGCACCCCAGGTCGCCGCAGTGGCCCTCCCGCCCTCCATCCTCCTGCCCCGTCGGATGCCTCCTTGCAGGACGGGTGGATTCTGGCCGTTGCCCGGGTGTACGCCCCCGCCCTCTGCGCTGGCCCCTGCACTGCCCGGGGCCGTCGCCGCGTGCAGCCCTCGCTGGGCCTGCGCCACGCGGCATCCCCGAGGGAGGGGAGGGGAAGGGAGGGAGGCGCCGAGGCGCCGAGGCGGGAGGAGGAACAGATCCAGCACAGATCCACCATGGGAGGAGGGGGGGAAGGAGGGAGGGAGGGAAGGGAAGGGAAGGGGAGGGGAGGGAGGGGGAGGGGGAGGGGATGGGAGGAGAGGGAGGAAGCGGGCGCTCGGCCTTACAGAGCGCGCGCGAGATGCGCGTCGGGTGGGTGTGCGGGCCGGCGGGCACGAAGAGGCACAAGCCCAACGGCACGGACGCAGGAAGGAGCAGAGCGGAACGCCCGGAGGGGAAAGGGGCAGGGGAGCGCACGGTGGGCAAAGACAGGCGCGGAGTCGGGCAGGGCGTGAGGGCGACTGGAGGAGGAAAGACGGAGGCGAGGAAAGCTGGAGAAACGATGGAATGAGCGGAGGGGAGCTACAGCAAAAGCAAAGCAACGACGAGGATCCTAGCTAGCAGACGTTGCAGATTCTGCGAGCACCGCGCTCACGCCACCCACACCCCCTTCTCCCATCCCCTATCCTCCCCCCTCCTCCCCACCCCTCCCCATCCCCTTCACCCCCATCCTCCCCTCATCCCGTCCCCTCTCCTCCCCTCTGAGAGACGAGGCGCGCTAACGATCCGCACCGAAGCACGGATTTGGGAAAGGGCCCACCCTGCAGGTTCGGTTAAACAGCACATCGTTGAGCGGTGCTGCAGCCTCCCCTGAGCACAGGCCCCCCCAGAGCATCAGCCAGACAAGTCGGGTTTGCACCCTCATGCCTTGCTGGACTCTGGGCGCGTTTCGGCACCCTCTCCCCCAACCTCGTCAGGGCCACCGACAAGGGAGAGGGCGGCGGTGGCCGACGCGTCCCCGAGCTAAGAAGCTCAAAGCGCCGCGGCTCAGAGAGCCGGGAAGACAGACAGACAGACGGCCGGACGGACAGCCAAGCAGCGCGCCTCGTCTCCGTCGTCGTCGTCGTCGGCGTCGTCGTGGTCGTGGTGCGTGTTGCTCTGCTCGGGATTCTGTTTCCCTTATGCAGTGACCACCACCACCACCTCCTCCCCTCTCATCCTCCCCTCCCCTCGCCCCCCTCCTCTCCAACCCCGCACCGCCTCTCCTTCCAGCCCTGCCTCCCCTCACCGAGCCCCCCCCACACCCCCCATCCATCCCCGCACTCGCCTCCAATGCTGCCTCCAGACGCGCCGCTGACGCCTCAAGGCGCCGCCGATTTCCGCACGGGGACGGACGGAGAGGGGAAAGCCGAGAGGCTCCTGCTGGCCGCCGGCGCGTGCGGCTGCTGCCGCTGCGCGCCGTGCTGGCCGTGCGGCCCGCCGGGTCCCATCTCGGGCAGGGGGCGGGACGACGAGATCGCCGACGATGCGACTTCCCAGGCTTCAGCATAAACCAAGGGGGGGGCGACAACCCTCCCAGACGAGCAAGCTTAGACCCTCCCCCCAGCCAGCCATGGAATGGGCGGCCTGTTGCCCAGACCCCCCAGGGGGGGAGCAGCAGAAGCACAAGGGAGCGGACGAGGAGCACGGGGGAGCAGCAGGCACGACGGAGCAGAGGCGGGAAGAGAGGAGAGATGGGACCCGCTAGGTCCCCAAAAAACCAAAGGGGCACCCCCGGAGGAGAGCGGGGCGACGAGGGGGGAAAAAGGACGGCGGGGGGAAGTGGAGGAGGAAAGGGGGCAAGGGGGGAGGGGCAGTGCAGGTATTTCCGGGTACGGGCACGTCCCTTTGGGACGAAAAGGGGGGAAGTGGAGGAGGAAAGGGGGCAGGGGGGGAGTGGAGAAGGAAAGGGGGCAGCGCGGCTTGGCCACAGCGGTCGCTGGGCCTGGCTGCTGGCTGCGGCTCGCGGCCCAGGCCTTCGGGCCCTGTGCGCGGTGGCCCAGCAGGGAGGCCAGGACGTCGACGCCCGCGTCGGAGAAGCAGCTTGCCGCTGCCAAAGCGGGGCAGCTTCAAGCTGTCCCGCTCCGGCAGCAGCAAGGTATCGCACTGGGTGTCCAAGCCTGGCCGCTGGATCGCCCAGCGGTCGAGCGCGTCGCAGGGGATGCGCTGGTCAACAGTACGCTTTGTGCAGGCCCCCAAGCGGTACTGGCAGTCCAGGATGGTGGCACCCTGAGCTACGCGGCGCTGGCATGCGTCGCTTGTGCCTCTGTCTTCAACCTGGATACACCAAAGCAGATGCCCCTGGTAGCGGCACCGCCCCCAGGGGTCGCCCCTTCTGCCTCCGGTCTGGGTTTTTGCATCTCTTGAATATGTTTTTTTTCCTGCGATTCCTATCCGCGGGGTAATTGCGCGTCCGCTGCTGCCCGTGCTGCTTGCTTTCGCCCGTTCGCCCCAACACGGCCTTTCTCCGCTCACGGGAACCCATGACAACAAACACAGTGGAAGCCATCAAATGCCATGCCGTGGCGCTCCTGGGGGGTCTGTTCCAGGTCAGGGTCGGCGGCACCAGCTGCGCGCAGACGGGCGCGCCGGCGGGCAGGTTTGCCTTGCCTGGCCTCCGCTGATTCCAGGGCAAGGCTCCCCGCGCCAGTGTCCCAGCCCGGCGTCGGCCATCTTGCCCTGGTAAGCCCCGCGGTCGGCGGCGGAGTCTGCGCGGATGGCGGACGGCTGCGGTTTCGTCTCACCCTCGCCGTTCTCGGCGATTGTGACCTGGTACATTCTGCTCCACAACTGCTTTCCGCCCAGACGGACAACAGGCTTCTGGGACGCCTCCGCAGTCGCGAGGCCGATCAGAGTGTATCTGGCGTAGGTCTGGAGGCGATGGGGCCGAACAGACTGGAAGTGGACCGAACGTCGGCCATATCGAAGGTCCCTTCGCGGCCCTCGACGCGCATGGTCCTGCGAAGGGTAGTTGCTCGAGCCGCGTCCGGCCGCGGCGGCGAGGAACGCGCGCCTCCCTGGACCGTGGCGTTGCTGTTGGGCCGCAGGCACAGCGGTTCTTTTGGCGAAGGCCAGGCTTCGCACGCCTGTAAGTCGGCTAGCCTCTCCGGGGCCAGCGCCCGGGGGGCCGCCCTGGGCCACCCTTTGCTGAGATGCCCATCTCGAGCAGCGCTGCCGAGGCAGCCCCCGACTTCTCCAGGCCCTCGTCCTCCTGCCACCGCTCTCGGGCGTCCCTCCCCCGTGCGTTCCTCGGCCGCGTGCGCCTGCCCATTCGCAGGATGATCCAAGATGCTCCCCGATGGTCCTCGCCGAGGAAAATGCACACTTTTTTACAAGCGCAAGCGGGCCCCGTGGCGCAACGCAAGGAGGAGAGGAGGAGAGGGGGGAGGGTGAAACCGCCGGCAGCCAGCCCCGCCGAGGAAAATGCACACGTCCGAGCGATGCCAAGCTGTGGGCCTCGCCACAATCGTTGCTCGGCCCCTGCTGGCGGTGGGCCCGGCCCGCGCGACGCGCAGGGGCCCTCCTGTGGGCGCCCCCCGCCACGGCCCAGGCTGTGGGCCTGCCCGGGACAGGCCACCCCTGGGGGCGGTGGCAGCTGCGACAGCTCGTCCCCACCGCAGCCTCGGGAGGCAGGGCGCGCCGTTGTCACACGTTCTTTATCGGCGCGCACAAGGGGGTGGAGCGAGGGGGTGGGCTTCTTAGAAGGAGGCTGCTTCTTAAAAAGGCGCCGGCCTTACATGTGCAGATAAGGGCCGCGCCTTCTAAGAAGCAGGGGTGCTTCTAAGAAGCCCTCCCCCCTCCCCCCACCCCCCTCTTCGCGTGGCTGATTTCTGTCACTTGCCTTGCTACAGCTGTTGTGCTGACGATTCTGCTCCAGTTTTTGCCTGTAGCTAGCTAGGTCGTCTGAGTCCTGTGGCCCTTGCGCCCTGGCAGGGTGCCCGTCGAGGCCACTGTCGGAGGCGAGGCGGGGCTGAAAGGGTGCAGCGGAGGGCGCGACGTGGCGGCGATGCCTGGCGCAGCCGCGGAGGGCGCGGAAGCCCGCAGCAATGTCCTCCCTCGATGTGGCGTCCCGATCATCAATGATATGTTATCCTAGGTATGCCGGTCAATCTTGCCCTGGCACGGGTCGTAGCGCTGCTGGCTCGCGTTGTAACCAGCTGGTGCCTGCAGTTCTGGTCGTGGCGCGAGTCGTAGAAATGGCCGGTCTCGGTGTAGATCTGGCGCTTCCAGCTGAAGTCCTGCAGGTTGCAAGCGCTGTTCAGAAGCAGGCGCATGCCCCCTGGCGGTGGCGTAGTGCGTCGGCCAATCGACGAGCGGCAGCTCGCTGAGAAGAAAGTCTCGACTGGCTCCAGTCAATAAAGATGCCATGGCCATCGATGATGTAATTCTTGGCAGCGGTGGTGTAGGCATGGTGCCTGCGGTGGCGTGCCGTGGGCCTCTAGCCCGCCGTGGCGAGTGCCAGCGGGCGCCGCGCTGGGCGCCGCGCCCCCCCAGCGTAGGAGAGGGAGCGCCTCCTCCTCCTCCTCCTCCTCCTCCTCCTCCTCCTCCTCCTCCTCCTCCTCCTCCTCCTCCTCCTCCTCCGCCGCCGCCGCCGCCGCCGCCGCCGCCGCCGCCGCCGCCGCCGCCGCCGCCGCCGCCGCCGCCTCCTCTCGCGCGGTGCCATGGGCGGGCAGGGCAGCGGCCTGCCACGGCCCGTAGGCCGGGGCCGAGCGACTGGAGGAGGCGCTGGGCGCGCCCCAGTGCCCCGCCGGCAGAGGCGGCGGTGGGTACCCGCCAGGATGCTGGACCTCGGAGGGGAGGCAGTGAGGGGGGAGGTCTTCGGGCGATGCGTCGGCTCTGGGCGGCGCCTGGCCTCGGGGTGCCTTCCAGCGGCTGCGCCCCCCAGGTCGTCCCAGAACGGCGGCCAGTGTCCCGAAAGCCGCCAGGATGGAGAAGGGGATCGGCGGCGCGCCGAGGGGGAAGTTGAGAGGGGGCAGGCCTTCTCAGAAGGTGGTGGGATTTCTCGGAAGCCGTCTGGCCTTCTGGGGAGCCCTCCAAGAGAGACGGGGCGACAGCGGCGCAAGAGGCGAGGGAGAGCGAGAAAGAGAGAGAGGGGGAGGAGGGAGGGAGGGAGGGAGGGTGGGGGGGGGCAGGGAGGGGGAGGGAGGGAGGGAGGGAGGGAGGGAGGGAGGAGGAGGAGGAGGGGCGAGGAGGGAGGGAGGGGGTGAGGGAGAGAGGGGAGGGAACACCCTTTTTAAAAACGCAAACACCTGCCCACCGCAAACCGCAAGCAGAAAGAAGCGTCCCCTCCCAACTCACCCTGGGCGCCGAGGCGGGGCCGCAGCGGCAGCCGCTGGGTTCGGGCCGAGGGCGGTCACCAAGCAACACAGCGGCGGCAGGGGGGTGCGGCAACAACGAATGCACAAGATTGGGCCACGGGCGCACGACGGGATCGCCTGTGGCCAAGGAGGGAGGGGAGGGGGGGAGGGGAGGGGGGGGGGGGAGGAATGGGTGGAGGGATGAGGGGGAGGGGGGGTAGGAGGGAGGGAGGGAGGAAGGGGTTCTTGAGAGAGGAGAGGAGGAAGAGGTTGAGGAGGGGGGGGAGAGATGTGGAGGGAGGGAGGGGTATGTGCCGTTGATTTCTGTCGTGGGGCCGTCGTCCGACGACGCCCTCAGCACCCCCCTGCACACCCTCTCGCTCCGACATCTTCTAGCTGCTGTGCAGCACGGCACGGCAACGCAGCCCCGCCCCATACCGCGGCCAGCAGAGCCCCACCTGCTCGGATCCCCCTCCCCCTCGTGCCAGAGCCAGGACACACGCGTGCCGCTTGCTTCGGAGGGGCCCTGACATCCACCTCTATGAGCCCGCCTGGATGCCGATTCTGGGGACCTTCCTGGAGACACGCGCTCCACTCGTGCGTCGAAGCTGCGTCGAACGTCCGTCGAGGGGGCGGGAGTCCCGGGAAAGAAGGGGGACAGAGCCCCGAGCGAAGCGAAGCGTGGAGGCACGCAGAGAGGCCGCCCAGCGGACTGCCCGCTGGACGGCGGCGCTAGGAGATGCAGAAGCGAGAGGAAGGACACGAGGAGGGCCGGAGGCCAGGCCGAGTGAACGGCGGGCCCGCCGCCGCGCTCGTGTGGAGCGACGCAGGGGCAGCGCCAGGGCCGGCGGGGGGAATAGCCTGGACAACTCCCGGAGGGAGGGAGCAGACGAAGAGGCCAAGCTGGCTGGACGGGAAAGCGGAGGGCCCATGTGGGCTTTGCCTGGCGGCGGAAGGGGCATCGCAGGATGCGTTCTTGGCGGCCCGCATGCACCAGCGCGCTCTGAAGGGGGAGGCCGCGCGCACACCTCGCGCCAACGACGGTACCTCTGCAGGGGTCCTGCGGCGCCCTCCGCGTGGAGACCCAGGCATGCTCGGGACGCGAGAGAGTCACAACAGGGGAGAAGGGGGGAAGGCCGCGCTCGGCCTCCGGGGGCCCTCGCCGGGCCAAAGGACCCTCACAAAACGACTCGGGATGAAAACCAGTCTTTGGAGGTCTGCGCTGTGGAAAACACACTATGTTGGAGCCCTGGGCTTGCGAGGGAAGGGAGGCCCTCGGTTGAGCGCCCTGCGCGCCGTCGGGTGCCCGCGCCTCCTCTGCAGGGAGCCCTTGGCAGCGCCGTTGTCTGGCTCGTCGTCGTCCTCGTGAGCCTCTGGGGCGGTTCCTCTTTTCCCTGCCGTTGCTGCCCTTACCATTGTGGCCCTTGTCCCAGTAGGCATCGGGGTGCGTGTTGGCCCACTGCGCCGTCCAGTTGTTTTTTCCTCCAACACTCGAGGCCTGCCCCAATCGCCGGTGCTGTGGATCGTGGTGTCGGCCCCCTGCTTGGCGCACGTCGGTGTCGCTGTCCATGACTCGGGAACAAGTGCCGAACCACTCGCGATTGATCCCAATTATGCAGCCATGGTTGGAGCTTGAGGTGAGTGTCGTGGTGGCTGTTGTGCGCTATATCGCGCTTGAAATAATGATCGTGCTCTGTGAAGCTGAAGAAGAACTCGTGCGTCGGCACGCTGCCGCCATAGTCGCCTGTGCCAGGCGGGGCTGCATGATCTAGATGTCGTTGTCGACGTGGCCCCAGGCAGGGGGAGGAACGGTCCTTGTGGTGGAAATTGTGGTCTATCGCGGACCGAATGGGCCTGTGATGGCCGTGCTGGCCGCCGCCTCGGCCCCAGTGCGGGGCAAATGGTGGCGGGATCGGCGATCGCGGCTCTCTGCTTCTCCTCCTCCTCCTCCTCCTCCTTCTCCTCCTCCAGCTCCTCCTCCTCCTTCTCCTCCTCCTCCTCCTCCGCCTCCTCCTTCCTCTTCTTGATCCTCCTCCTCCTCCTCCTCCTCCTCCTCCTCCTCATCATCATCATCATCATCATCATCATCATCATCATCATCATCATCCTCATCCTCATCCTCATCCGCATCCTCATCATCATCATCATCATCATCATCATCAGCATCATCAGCAGCAGCCGCAGCATCGTTATCGCCATCAGCATCATCAGCATCATCATCATCATCATCATCATCGTCGTCGTCATCATCATCAGCATTATCATCAGGAGCATCATCATCATCAGCAGCAGAATCGTCATCATCATCACCATAATCGTCGTCATCATCCTTATCATCATCACCACCACCATGATCATCATCCTCATCGTCATCATCATCATCATCATCATCATCATCATCATCATCATCCTCATCCTCCGCATCCTCACCATCATCATTAACATCACCATCATCATCATCATCATCATCATCATCATCATCATCATCATCATCATCATCATCATCATCATCATCATCGTCATCATCATCATCATCACCACCATCATCGTCATCGTCATCATCAGCAGCAGCAGCGTCAGCCAAGATGGCCGAAGATGCCTCCAAGACAGCCGAAGAGGCCCCGATGAAGCCCCAAGAGCGCTCCAAGAGGTCCCCCAAGAGGGCCCACAGAGACAGAAATCTGTGATTTTGTGTGTTTTCAAAATGTTTTATACTATCCCCTATTCGAGCATCAGAAGCTCCAAGACGGCCCCACAGGTCCTCAAGACCGCCCCAAGAGGGCCCCAGAGGCCCCCAAGAAAGTCCCAAGACATCTCGAGACGGCCCCGAAACAGCCCAAGAGGCGCCCAAGGCAGCCCAAGAGAGCACCAGAACGGCCTCAAGACAGGCCCGAGAGGGAACGCGAACCGACAATTCGAGCCTTGCGCCCGAAGAGGCCCCCAGTAAGCCCCAAAAGGCTTCCAAGTCGCGCAATGCGGGCCGGCGGAATAGGCGAGGCGATTACATAACTCCTCCGTGCCGCACCCCGAGGCCGGTCGGAAGGGCGGGCCGGGCGTGTCGCCTCACACCTCCTTACCATGAGCCTCAAGCTTAAAAACTAGCACCAGGTTCACATATGGAGGGCGGGTCGCTGCCAAAACGTGGCCCTCGCCTCAGCACCGCGCACATTCGTTTCAAAGATTTGCAAGAGCTCCACGGATTGAGGGCAGGTAGTTTTCAAAATGTGGCTCTCGCCCTAGCGCCGCGCACATTCGTTTTCAATATTTGCGGGAGCTTCACCGATTGAGAGCGGCTCCTTTTCAAAATGTGTAGCCCCGCGCACATTCGCTTGATAAAATAAAGGATGTTACGGGTTCCCATGGTTAACGTACTTGAAATTATGTTTGGGAACGATTCAGGACTGTCAGTGCGCAACAGTTGAACTGAGTCGTGGTGCCAAGGTCCCAAGAATGGCGTCCTGGCACGGTTCAAGATCGTGCAAGCGCAACAGTCAGGCTGGCGTTGGAATCCCCAGAATGATGCTGTGACGCGCTTGAGGATCTTCGGTTGTCCGCCAACGGGGCACTTCATTCAGTGGAAGTGAATCTATGTAGGGGCCTCTGAAGAGGGAGCTTGGAGGGAGGGCTTATTCAACGTCATTGATGAGTCTTGGGTCTACACTGGTCCTCCTCCTCCATCTTCCCGTCCTCGTCCTCCTCCTCCTTCTTCTCCTCCTCCTCCTGATCCTTTCCATCCTCGTCCTTGTCCTCGTCCTCGTCCTCCTCGTCCTCCTCCTCCCCTCCTCCTCCTCATGCTCCTCCTCCTTCTCCTCCTTCCCGTGCTCGTCCTCGTCATCGTCCTCTTCCTCCTCCTCCTCCTCCTCCTCCTCCTCTCCTCTGCTCCTCCTCCTCCTCCTCCTCCTCATCATCATCATCATCATCATCATCCTCATCCTCCTCCTCCTCCTCCTCCTCCTCCTCATCATCATCATCATCATCATCTTCTTCTTCTTATTCATCATCATCATCATCATCATCATCATCATCATCATCATCATCATCATCATCATCCGTATCCTTCTCCTTCTCCTCCTCCTCCTCATCATCCTCCATTCCTTCTCCTTATAGATTACTCCTCCCTGTCGCACCCCGAGGCCAGTTTTTAGGGCGGGCTGGGCGTTTCGCCTAAGACTTCCTCACCACTTATGACTCTGAAGCTGAAAATGTGACAACTGTTTCACAGATGATGGGCGGGTCGTTTTCAAAATGTGGCTCTCGCCTTAGCGCCGCGAACATTCGCTTTACAAGTTTGCAAGAGCTTCACGGATTGAGGGCGGGTCGTTTTCAAAATGTGGCTCTCGCTTTAGCGCCGCGTGCATTCGTTTGTAAAGTTTGCAAGAGATTCACGGATTGAGGGCGGGTGATTTTCGAAATGTGGCTCTCGCCTTAGCACCGCGCACATTCGTTCAAACATATTTCCCCCCCCCCCCCAAGAAAAAAAATAACGGATTGAGGGCGGGTCGTTTTCAAAATGTGGTTCTCGCTTTAGCGCCGCGCACATGCGTCTTAAACAATTGCAAGAGTTTCAAGGATTCAGGGCGGTTCCCTTTCAACAAAAAATGCAAGAGTTTCACAGATTCCCAGATCAACGTACCAGGAATTACGTTTTGGAAGGATTCAGGGTTATGCGGGTGCAACAATTACGTTGGTTCGCGGTGTTGAAGTCCCAAAATGGCGCTCTGGCACGATTCCGGATCGTCAGGACGAAACAGTCAGGTTGATGTGTGGCGTTGAAATCCCGAGAACAATATTTTGGCATGCTTCAGGATCTTCAAACGGTTGTCTTCCAACGAGGCGGTTCCCTCAATGGAAATGAACCGTTGTGGGGGCCTATAAAGAGAGAGCTTGGAGGGAGAGTTAACTCCCACATCGTTGATGACTCTTGAATTTACACTGGTCCTCCTCCTCATCCTCCTCCTGCTTCCTCCTCCTTCTCCTCCTCGTCTTCTCCCTCCCCCCTCCATCTCCTCCCTCCTCCTGCCCCACCCTGTGATCTGGCTCCGCTGTGGCGCAGGACGCCGCCGCAGCAGCCGGGCGTAGGCGCGGCGTAGAACGGCGGCGGTTGCAAACTGTAGGGCGGTATGGCCCCTGCAGACGGCGGGCAGGGGCCTGCCGACGGGGCGTGGCGGCGTGGCCGGAGCGGGCCCCCTCCTCCTCCTCATGCTCCTCCTCCTCCTCTTCCTCCTCCTCCTCCGCCTCCTCCTCCTCCTTCTGCTCTTCTTCCCTCCTCCTCCTCCTCCTCCTCCTCCCTCTGCTCCTCCTCCTCCTCCTCTCCTCCTCCTCCTCTCCTCCATCCTTTTTTCTTGATCTCCTCCTTCCTCCTCCCCCTCCTCCTCCTCCTCCTCCTCCTCCTCTCCTCCTCCTCCTCTCCTCTCGTCACTCCTCCTCCTCCCCCCCTCCTCCTCCTCCTCCTCCTTCTCCTTCCTCCTCCTCCTCCTCCTCCTCCTCCTCCTCCTCCTCCTCCTCCTCCTCTCCTCCTCCTCCTGCTCCCTCCTCCTTCCTCCTCTCCTTCTCCCCCTCCTTCTCCTCCTCTTCCCCTCCTCCTCCTTCCCTCTCCTCCTCCTCCTCCTCCTCCTCCTCCTCCTCCTCCTCCCTCCTCCTGCTCCTCCTCCTCCTCCTCCTCCTCCTCCTCCTCCTCCTCCTCCTCCTCCTCCTCCTCCTTCTCCTCCCCCTCCTTCTCAACCATGCCCAGAGGGATCCCGAATCCATGGGGCTCGTGGGGCTCACACGGCCCCTATGACCTGGAGAGCCAGTGGGGCCCGCAATGCTCAAAGGGCATATAGGGCTCCGAGTGCACATAGGGCTCGTGAAGCTTACGCGGCCCCTAGGGCCTACAGAGCCCTGCGGGCCCGCAAGGCTCATATGGTCCATAGGGCCCCGAGGGCCCACAGGGCTCGTGAGGCTCACACAGCCCAGGGCCTGTCGTGCCCTGAGGGCCCGCAAGGCTCAAAGGGCCCATAGGGCCCCGAGGCCCCACAGTGCTCGTGGAGCTCACACGGCCCAGAGGGCCCCGAGAGCTTGCAGGGCCCGCAAGGCTCATAGGGCCCATAGGTCTCGGAGGGCTCATGGGGCTCATGGGGCTCACGCGGTCCTTAGTGCCTGGAGAGCCCGCCAGGCTCATGAGGCCCATGAGGATCCAGCGGCTCATGTGGATCGTGAGACACATAAAAGCCTAGAGAGCCCGAATGGCCCGCAAGGCTCCCAGGGGTCATGGGGCTCCGAGGGCCCATCACGCGGCCCATCTGGCCCGGATAGCTCGCAGGGCCGGCAAGGCTCATAGGGTCCATAGGGCTCCAAAGGCCCATAGGGCTCGTGAGGCTCGCACGGCCTCCTGGGCCCAGAAAGCCCGAAGGGCTCGCAAGGCTCATAGGGCTCCGAAGGCCCATAATGCTCGTGGGCTTCACACGGCTTCATAGGGCCTGGAGGGTTTGTAGGGCGGGCCAGGCTCATTGGGGCCATCGGGCTCCGAGGGCAAATGGAGCTCGTGGGGCTCATGCGGCCCCGAAGCCCTGGAGAGCCAGCCCGTAAGGCCTGCACGGGCCATATTGCCATATTGCCCACACGGCTCGGAGGGCCCATAAAGGGGGCTCGGTCAGCTAACACGGCCGTAAGGCCCGGAGAACCCTGAGGGCCCGCAAGGCTCCCAGGGCCCGTAGGGCTCTGAAGCCCATAGGATTCGCCGGGCCCGCAACGATCATAGGACCCATTGGGCACCGAGGGCACAAAAGGCTCGTGGGGCTTCCACGGCCCCTAGCCCTGGGGCCCAGAGGGCTCACAGGACCAAAAGGGTTCCACGGGCTCACGGGCCGCGCGCGTGGATCATACACGGCCCATCGGCCCGGAGAGCCAGTAGGGCCCGCAAGGCCCATAGGGCCCAGAGGGCTCCTAGGGCTTGTGGGGCTCACACGGCGGCCCTAGGGCTCCTAGGGCTCGTGGGACCCGGAGAGCCCGTGGGGCCCGCAATGCTCAAAGGGCCCGTAGGGCACCGAGCGCACATAGGGCCCGTGGGGCTTACACGGCCCCCAGGGCCTGCAGAGCCCTGCGGGCCCGCAAGGCTCATAGGGCCCATGGGGTTCCACGGGCCCACAAGGCTCGTGAGGCTCACACGGCCCCTATGACCCGGAGAGCCCGTGGGGCTCGCAAGGCTCGAAGGGCCGATTGGGCCCCGAGGAACCACAAGACTCGTAAGGCTCGTGGAGCTCACACGGCCCCGAGGGCCCGCCCGCAAGGCTCGTGGGGCCCACAGGTCTTAGGCTCATGGGCTCGCGCGGCTCTCGGGGACCAGCGAGCCCGCAAGACTCCTGAGGTCCATAGGTCTCCGAGGGCCCATACGGGTCGTGAGGATCATACAGCCTTCTGGCCCAGAGAGCCCGAAGGGCCCGCAAGGCTCATAGGGTCCATGGGGCCCATAGGGCCCGAATAGCCCGCATGGCCCGCAAGGCTCATAGGGCCCTATGCTCCGAAGGCCCGTAGGGCCCATGGGGCTCCGAGGTCCCCCCCCGCCGCCAGCCGAGCTATTCCTCCTCCTGGCCCCCCGCCCCCAGCCCTCCTCCTCGCCCCTCGCAGCCAGCCCAGCTCCTCCTCCTCCTCCTCCTCCTCCTCCTCCTCC